CCCCAAAACCCCAAAACCCCAAAACCCCTAAGGCAACAATTATGATCATAAAGTTTTAACTAGTTATTAAAAAATCAATTTATAACTTGAAGCCATAAGATCCATCATGATTTTCAATGGTTATTGTCTCTAGCTGCCAATTAGGGCAAATACCCACTAGAATCTATATTTATTTATGTAAAAATTTAATTATAATTACGATTAGATTGGATTAGGTGTTGATGGTTAAGCACTGCACCTTTTTCTTCCAAGAGTCTGATTATTTGGTCCTTTAGTTATCTAATCTCTAGTTTTTATAGCAAAATTTATTGATTGTTCTCATCCATTTATCTCTATATTTTCATTGTAGACAAAAATCAAAGTACCTGAAGATCCATTATTCGTGCTTTATCTTCTAGATTTTCCTTTTTCTTCATAAATGGTGTTACACCCTTGCCCATTTATCCTCCAGTTCTTGATATCATGGAATTATCTCTAGCATTTCTAGCAGCAGAACCAGTTCTCTATGCTCCTTTTAGTAATGATGGCATTACATTACCTCCCATGTCAATATCTATAAATAATTAAGTAAGCTAATATACCATCATCATCCATTTCATCTATATTCTTAGTTTAATCCATCTATGATTGTTATTAGTCATCATGCTACTTTTTCATGTTCTGTAAACCCTTTTCAAGTTCCTCAATAACCTTATTCTTCTTAAGTATTTCAGTCTTTAGCTTTTTCTCTTCAAACTTAATTGAATTCAACTCAACTAACAGTTAAGTATTTTCTTTGGTTCTCTTCTTAATGTCATTCTTAGTCCTCGTCTCATTCTTAATTGTATTTACCTTCAGAGTTGCAATTGATCTCTCCATATATCGAAGCTATCTATCTAGTTCTTCAAGAGCCTCTGGATCCTTTTTCTTGCCTAAATCTTAATAAGCAGCTTGACTCATCACATAATCTTAATTCAACTTCATAACACCTGTAACATATGATTTCTCATCTTTAGTCTAGACAATCTTATGAACATCTTATGCGAATTTTAAAATAGTTTTCTCCTTTTCTGAAGTAGACTCTTTCTATCCACTTAAATCAGCATTCAACTAATTAATCTTGGATTGCTTCTTAGACAACTCCTCTCCTAATTAATTCATCTTTTACATCTACTTCTCGAATACTTTCTCAAGATTTAGAAGTTGATCTTTTAGATTTTCAATTTGTTGTTCCTTTGGCTCGAGACTAGCTCTCATTTCTGTCGTTCTATGAGTAAGTACATGCTTAGATTTCTAAAGATCCTTAATCTTGAATTTGTACTTGTAAAGATCAGTTTCTCTCTTTTTAAGTTTGTCTAATACTTCTTATCTTTCTTATTCTAGCATCTTAATTTGCTTTATTTTCTCCTCTAACTTGAGTTTTGTTTCCTTCTTTTTCTTTTTTGCATTAACCATGAGATTTTCAGCTGCCTCTCTTTCATTTTCTAACATCTTCTTATTTGTCTTTAGTTCCTTTTAAATTGTCTAGAGTTCAGCCCAATCTGACTCTAGCTGTTACTTATCTTTCTTGTGTTTTTCCTTAATCTCAAATATTTCATCTTCATGCTCATTTTCTTATTAGTCAAGTTTCTTCTCATAAATATCTTAGAGGTTCTTAGCTGTTTTTTTACTATCTTAGTATTCATCTTAAACCTTCAATAGATTTAGCTTGAACTCTTTCAATAATTTGTCGATAGCATCTTAATTTTACTTGGATAGTTCTGCAATTTTCCCCTCATAGTATTTTATCATTTCAAGTCTTTCCTATTCAAGTTTAAGATAGTTGCTGTTTTCAATATAAAGCTTCTTTTCATATACTGTTTGAAGATCTTCAACAGCATTCAGGTGATTCATCTCCATCTTTTTCATTGCTTCAAAATTTTATCTATCCTGCATGTCTTTTTATCTTTTTAAATCCTCATATCTTTTTTCGAGATCCTAGATATCTAGATCTTTTTGTCTTTCTATCTCCTCGTATTACTTTTCGTATTTTCTCTTAGATTCAAGCAACTTCTACTCAACTTTCTTTTTGTTAACTGCCAAATCGTGCTTTAGCTAATCCTACTTTCTTTGCCATTCCTCCATTTCATTTTTCTTTACTAAGACTATATCAGCTAGGGCATCATCAACAATACTATTAATCATATCATCAATTTTATCATCCTCAGTAAGCATATTTTAAACTTGATTTTTGCCTATGTTTTCTGGAATAATAGCTTGCTCACCAATCTAAAAGATGAATAAAGTCCCATCTGAGCCAGTAGAAAATAAAAACCTATTATCTGGAGATATTATCACTCTGGTCACCTCTCCATTGTGAACACTAATCTAGTCAATTATTTTGTCTAATTAATTTGAGAAAATAAACAAGTTTCCTTTATCAGTTCCAGAAACGAATCCACTTATTTTGTTTTTGTTAGTTTTAATATATGAAACTTGGGTGAACTTGCCGTCATCAATATAGAAATTACCTTGAATTTAATCCTTATTATTAACTATTCTAAGATTAGATTTATATCCATCAGATCCTGTTACTACTAGAGTGTGATTATCACTCGAAGGTTGTATAAAATCTAGTGATTTAAATTCCATCGATTTATCGAGCCCTTCTTTGATTACTTCAAATTTAGGAAGTGTCTTGTATCTACCAATTTATCCATCAGGTGATACAACAGCAAAAGATTGATCCTTATCTCCCATTACAATATCTGAAACTCCAAGAGGGTAAGTTCCAACACTTGTGATCCTTATGAGAGTATAACTGTTGAAAATTTAAATTGTTTTATTCGCAACTGCGAAGAATAAATGTCCTCCAGTACTGAACTTCATTTTCTAACAATTTTTAATCTCAATGTTTTTATAATGTCTTAGTTCATCATGCAAAATATGATACATTCGAATCTTATCTATGAATGAGGCTGCCATATAATAGCCACTAGGGTGCATCGCTACAGATATTAAGGGTTTAGCTGCTTCTCTTATTGCCATATCTTCAAGAACATAATATTCTCTAGCTAATTCACATGAATGAGTAAAGTAATTCCATAGTCTTATAGTTGAATCTTCTCTTGAACAGGTAACTATGATTGGTCTTTGGATTGCAATATCGATTGAGTTAATAGAGCCTGAATGGAAGCCTCTACAAACAAGATCGAATTTTATCTCATTATTAAGGTTCTCATTTAATCCAATAGACTTTATGGATACTAAGCCAATATTATTGTTTTTACAAGCCACTGCTAAGGTTTCTTCTCCTGGACTTACTGTCATGCCCAAAATTTTAACACCCTTAGTAGAAGGAGGGCACCACTTTCTGATAAAATCATAAGGCTATTTACCTGAAGTAGAGTTATTTTCTTCAGATCTAACCCACATAGCCATATAGCCATTATCAGAAGCAATAAAGAAACCTTTTGAAAAAGGTCTTAGGGAAGAAACATGCATTAAGTTCTCATCAGTATTAAAGGCATTTTCTACAAATTACTTTAGTTCAAAGTTATCGAGGAAGTAAAGTTCACCTTCAGCAGTGCATCCCACTAATTTATCATCTTCCAGCCAAGCATGATCAGTGAATAAATGATTTTAGGGGACCTTTGAAAATTACTGCATCGGCTTAAATGTTAACTCTTAAACTCTCCACAGTTTCCAGTGATTGTTACCACTTGTGCAGACTTAGTGATTGTCTTTAGGATTGAATGTAATTTTTTTGATCAATTATTTAGGGAAATCATATTGGCCAAAGACTTTTGATTTGTGGAACCAGTCATATGCTACAGCCTTGCTATCAGTTCCATCAGATATTATAAATGCTGCATACTTGGAATCATTTGAAAAGCTCATTGAAACAATAGTTTTCTATGATGAATGACTATATTAAGATTATTATTGCTGCTGCTGTTACATTTATGGAGATTAAATCTAGGAGGTCATGATATGAGATTGATCCTTAATAACAGATGAGTTGTAATTATTTGAAGTGAAAGGCGTGACCAATTCAGTTATATTAATAGATTGCTTGATTTATTTGAATCCAGACTTCATATCATAGAATGAAACATAAGCATTTTGATCATTTTTGTGCTTTTCACAGACAGCTAAAAATCTCTTGTTGGGTGACAATGTCATTGAAGTGATCTCCTTAATATTGTCTAGCAATTTAATGAATTTCATGTTATTGCTAGATTAGTCCTTGATATCTCTGATTCCAATATGCTTGCCTAAAAGAAGTAATTAAGTGCATATTCTCTTACCAACTGGATAGACTAGATACAAGTGAGGGTCTTATTCCTCTAGAAAAATTATGGAATTCGAGAGCTCATGAGTTTAAGATGCAAAACTTGCCCCAAATGAATTCCTACGAATTAAATTAAGCTCAAAGTGATTACACGAATTCAAGCTTCACTCTGAAGCGTTGGGAATTTTCATCCATACTTTTATTTTACTTTTTGAATATATTGAAATTATATAAATGATTGGCTCAAGGGGTTTTGGGGTTTTGGGGTTTTGGGG